TATGCCCTGAGTGCAACGAGTAGATACCAATCGAATCCAGGAGAGGCGCATTGGACTGCGGCCAAAAACATCCTTAAGTACCTGAAAAGGAACAAGGATAAATTCCTGGTGTATGGAGGCCACAAAGAACTGGTTGTTAAAGGTTACACTGATGCTAGCTTCCAGACTGATAGAGACGACTTCAAGTCACAGTCGGGGTATATATTCTGTCTTAATGGAGGAGCGTTCAGCTGGAAGAGTGCCTAGCAGAGCACCACTTCAGACTCTACAACTAAAGCCGAGTACTTGGCCGCTTCGGAAGCTGCCAAGGAAGCTGTTTGGATTCGCAAGTTCATCAGTGAACTTGGTGTTGTACCCTCAATCAAGGGACCGATAGACCTCTATTGTGATAATAATGGAGCTATCGCTCAGGCTAGGGAGCCGAGAGAACACCAGAAGGTCAAACACGTGCAAAGGCGATTTCACATGATAAGGGAATGGAAATCTGAAGGTGAAATCAGAATTTGTAAGATCGGCACGGATGATAATGTAGCCGATCCTTTGACTAAGCCATTGCCTCAAGTGAAACACAACAAACACGTTGAGGCAATGGAAATCAAGCACATAGGATACTGACTTTGATATTCCCTGTACAAGTGTTTTAATTAAACGGGTTGATTTAATGTAAGACACTGTACTAAAACCATTCATTAATGGAGTAATTAATTTTTGTGCAAAATTATCATTCACTCAATTACTATTTAATTGTGGTTTAGAATTAAATAATGAGTCCATTCGATTAACGGAAATATTCAAAACAGGGTATCAAGACCATGTCTTGGATAAAGAAACACCTGTTAAGTGAACATTGAATATTAAATCGAAAAGTATCCCTAATCGAGGTCATCTAACAGATGGACGATTGATGACCGCCATAGATTAGTGTGTAGTATGATTTACAGCACTGTTTCTTGTGCTGCGAGGACGTAACAGTCATAAATCATTTGCATAGGTACAGTTTAGAACTGTACTGGATAAGACCTATGAGAGTACTTTAAGAAAATTTAAATTTTGTCATAAGTACATTTCTCATTATGACTATCGGAACTTATTTCCTCCGACCATAAGTACTGTGAAGTTTTCTTGTTTGAGTACTAGGCTCTTTGATGTTTCCAAACGTCTGCCGTAACTGGGGATCATAACGGGAACACTCGGGAGTCTATGTCCTCTTAGTAAGAAGAACTTACAATACAAGACTGGGATTGTCCCCCTACTAACAATAGGGAAAATGTTTTGTTGTTTAAAAGGCCGCTCGAAGAGTGAGACTGTGAAAATGCATAGCCATGCTCAGATGGATTTTAGAAATCATCTGCTTATTGACAGTCAAACTCGGAGATCGAGAAACACTTCTGAACGTAATAAGGATGACAAAGAATCTTACCTTATAGTTCACGAAGAAACATTAAGTGACAAAGGAAATGAGCTATACACAATATGCACACTTGTCCGGAAGGACAAGTGGGAGATTGAAAGGAATGGTGTCCTTCCAACAAGTGTATTATTCCGATAGAGGGTTCAGAATTATTACAGAGCTAATTCTTCAGTAAGGTCAAGTGATCGGAATTCCTAGGTGGAGGCCGCTTCCGATCAGTAATATCGAGGTACAATTGATATTACAGCTTGATCTTAACTGAACCCTTCGGGTCGAACCCAATCAAATCTCCGATCCGAGACGTCAAATTAATCCGAAAGGATTTAATGAGTCGACAGAGTTTTACGAATACAGACGTCGGAAATCGAGCCTAGGGCGTCGATACCAAGCGTCGCAAAATCACAAGCAACAAGTATGAGTGCAGCCGTAGCTAGGCTAGGCTAGCACATAGCATGCCTAAGCGCACCCTGGTGTGCTAGGCACCATCGCAGCCTAGGCGCACCCTGGCAGCCTAGGCGCACCCTGGCAGCCCATCGCAAGCTAGCAGCATGCTAGCATGGGTGCCTAGGTGCGCATGGCAGCTATCGCAAGCCACACAGGCACCAGGCAGCCCATAGCAGCTAGCAGCATGCTAGCGTGATGCCTGGGTGCATATGGTGCCCTATCGCAGTGCACAGCCCTTGCTAGGCACCATTTCAAGGCCTGGCACCACGCACAAGCACCATCGCAATGCCAGGGGCATGCGTGTGTGTGCGTGTGTGTCTCGCAGCCTCGCACACTAGCCTCACACAGCAGCCGCACTGATGCGTGTGGGCTGGTGCGTGTGCTTGCAATGGCTGGCTGGGTTGCTAGGCAGCAGCACCACGCATGCATGTGCGTGTGCGTGTGTGCATGCCTCGCACCTAAGCACAAGCAGTACTAGGCACTGGCTAGTGCGAGTGTGTGCATGATGCGTGTGGGCTAGCAATGTGTGTGCGTAGGTGCGTGGCGCATGGCTGGTGCGTGATGCATGTGCGACCAACCAATGCGTGGGATGCGAGGGCCAGCATCAGCGATGCCTAGCAAGCACTAGCTGGGCGATGCATGGCTGTGCAAGTGATGGCAAGGCAGCACCACGCATATGCGTGTGTGTGTGCCTGCGATAGCAAGAAGGCAGCACCACGCATATGTGTGTGCGTATGCCTGCGGTAGCAAGGCACCAGCGCCAGCAATGCCCAGCATGTGCTAGCTGGGCGATGCATGTTGTGCGTGCGATAGTGGCACTAGGCAGATTGGCTGGGTGATGCGTGATGCACCAGCCAAGCAAGCTAGCTGGTTGTGCGTGCTGGCAGCGCCAGATGGCAGCCAGCCTAGCTGCCTTGCAAATGGCGGTTTGAAGGGGAAGTGGGGACCAAAGCCACCAAGCTTCACTTGGGGAGCAAGGCAATGGTCCCCCCCCCCCATGGGATATGGTCCTCACCTAACCCATTCTCTCCTTTTGCCACTTTGTTGGCTTGTGATTGTTTTGCATAATTATTTATTTTAGAATTAAATAAATCATTGCAATTGCACATGATCCCACATTGATCATGAAAAGGGGTTTCAAGTCCCCATTCTCTATAAATACCCACTTGGTTGGGATTTTGAGAAAACAACCTTGAGTGGAATTAAAAAGGCAACTCTAAGAAAAGAGTAAACCTTTGATTCGTAAAACTCATAGTTATTTTGTCCGGGTCTTGACTAACCTTCAAGACTTAGGACGCTCGGGTCGGGTCGAGGGTACGATCCGTCGGAGATCTCGTCTTTTCGGGATTTTGAAGTAAGAGCTCTTTGGGAGCGAAGCACGCGTCAAAGGTATAATTCTTGTCCTTAATCTTGTTTGATTAAGTTTATTATGCTTGTTTAATTGCTTTAATTAAGGGGCGGGTCTTGGTGGGTTTCCTTCCGCGTATTGTCGGGTCACTACGAAACCTTACACTTTCTTGTAAAAATTCCAGACGAAAACAAATATCAACAAGGGTATCACGAACAACATTATGTCGATGTTTAATACCCACAATCCCAACACAGGACACTGCATGATCCCCAAAAATATCCCCATCAAAAACCTTTGAGCAAGCAGAACACGGTGTCGAAACGGAGAACAAAGGAACACGCAACCGATAGCACGTAAAGAACACAACGGTAAGCCTTACCATTATTATTGTAGAAAAATAATAAAAACCTACAAAGTTAATCAATTTACAAGAAATTAGTGGGGAGCTGAGATACAATCTGGGGCCCCACCCCTCTAGCTATAGCGAACCCGATCCTGCTGAAAATGTGAGCAACTGCACGAACACCAATATCCTGAGTCCTTGCAAATGCCTGAACTCGCTTCAGCAACGCAACAGCATCCTTATCTAATTCCCCCAAAGAAGAAAAGGAGAAAGGAAGAAAACCATAACCAATTGCCCTGCAACGCTCCTCATACTTGTCCTGCTTCCGCTGAGCCGCAGTCGACACAACACGATCAGGAAGAAAGTCAGACAACCCAGACTGTGTTAAAGGAGAAGACCCCGTCAAGTTAACACATACATCAAGGCCTCTGTCCTAGGATTAAAGAAACACATCTGCAAGTCGAAGAGCCTCATCGCTCCCTCCAGTCAACCCAACGTTTACATCATTTCTTGCAGAAATCCCAGACCGAAAACAAATATCAACTAGGGTATCACGAACAACGTTATGTCGGTGTTTAATACCCACCATCCCAGCACAAGACACTGCATGATCCCCATAAATGTCCCCATCAAAAATCCTTGAGCAAGCAGAACACGGTGTCGAAACGGAGAACAAAGGAACACCCAACCGGTAGCAAAGAACAGAACGGTAAGCCTTACCATTCATAATCTGACCAGACCCCAATATTGGGACCGCCCGCAACCAGGTAGAAGTGTGATCCCTCTGTTGAGACTTCCATAAGGCAACCTGACGCGGAGATTATTACTATTACTTTTATAATAACTATTATTATTATATTAATAATTATTAACATTATTAGATTAATAAATAATATTATATTATTATAATATTTATATTATTAATAAATATTATTAATACATATATATACTATTAATAATATATTATTATATTAATTATTACTAATTTAGCAATTATTATGATTAAAAATATATTATTAATTATTATTATCAGTATTATATTTATAAATATTGTTAATATTAGTATTATAGTATTATTATATTAATAACTGTAATTTTAAATATTAAAATAATAATAATAATTATAATAATAATACATTATTATTATAGTATTATTATTATTATATTTACTATTAATAGCTAATATTAAATATTATTGTTATTAATTATTATTAATGAACATTACTATTAATAATAGAATTATTATCATTATAATATATATTATTATATTTATTCAACAAATTTCAATAAATTTCAGTTTAGTTCAATAAATTTTAATTCAGTTCAGCTCATTACAATTCAGCGAGTTTCAGTCCAAAGAATGAAGTCTAAGCAAGCTAGAGTCGGAAAATTTCTCCAAGTTCCACTCATATCAGTTTTAAACTTTTAATCCTCATCTGTATTCGCCCAGTCACCTCTGCCAGGTGCTGAGGTGCACAGTGTACTCATCTACAACTTTCAAAAGCGTCACAATCCATAAAAAAGTTCAAAAATCCATCCACCCTCTAGAAACTCCTGCACTTTCTCCCACCTCAACACTCAACAACAACTCCACCACGTTCCACCCACAATCAACCCCCTTTTTTTTCTCTCTCTCTCTTCTTCCGCAACCTTCTCGGGGAATCCGCTATCATCTCTTTCTCTCTCCTCTTTCTCCAGCACCAACTTATCACTTATATAAAATGAAACTCCCAGTATTTTACTCTTTCAGTAACAACTGAAACTTTCCCAAAATAGAAAGATGAGAGAAGGAGAAGTGGTTGTGCTTGCTAATGGCGCCGATGACAACCCACAAGATGGTGAGAGATTAGCGGATTATGTGGTTGATGTTTACCCTTTAAACCGCTATTGTTTTGGGTCTAAAGATGCTCTTTCTACTAAGGACGAAACCCTTGCTGACTCACTTCTTCGCTTGAAATCTAAGTACTATTTTCTCTCTCTCCTCTGTTCTTCTTTGATTGAATTGAATAGGGGTTGTTGTATATTGATTTGATTTTGTATTTTTTATTCTGTGGGTGTTGTTTTTGTTTAGTTATGAAGCCCGTGGATTAAGGACTAGCGTTCAAGCTGTTATTTTGGTAAATCCTTTTTACCTTGGGTTTATGTTTACTGCTTTTGATATGAATTTATTTACGATTTTGATATACGCAGTGCTAAGGGCTAAGTATAGCTTTTAAAATAAATGCTTGATCTCGACACCCGGGTGCACGGTGCACCCGTGCAAAAACGACATCCGCTTCTTCATAAAACGCAGGCACCAAACAAGTTTTAAAAAAGCGGGAAGAACATCATATTAGTAAATAATAAACATACATATTTTAAAGAACATCAAGTTAAGATAAAAACCAAAAGAACGCGAGATTTTCTCAATATAAATCTTTAATTACGGGAAAATATCTACCCATGGCTCACATTAATTGTTAAAATCTTTTCAAAAATTATCATTTTCCAAAATCTATTTAGCTTTCTCTCAAAAAATACAGTTTTTCATAATTATTATTATTTTCTAAAATTATTTCACCCAAAAATAATTTAAAATTTCGTTTTATAAAATCAAAATTCAAATTTTTAAATCATTTTCAAGATTTCATTTTTCAAATTTTTTATTTCATTCCTATTTTTCACCAATTATAAATATATATAGTAATAATATTCATTTTAGGTTCGGTATATATATTTCTTGTGATGTGCTATATGGTATTTAATAATATTCTTTATTAGAAAACATGATGTACTTTATAGTTGTTTGTAATGTACAATTATTTTTTAAAACTATATTTTTTTCCTAATGTCCATAATTATATCATATAATGATTTTTATTAGATCTTTTGACAAATTATTTAAATGTCCATGTTCTTTGATTGTAATTGCAATGTACTTTTATTGTCACATAATGTTCATTGCTTATTGTGAAATGTTATTTGAATTTTGTCTTTGGATCGTGCTAGGTATATATATAAGTTATGTTCATTACATAATATTATAATGTTCTTTAATAATATTACGAATGTTTTTTAGATCTGAAAAACAATCATCAATAGAGGAGATCCCAAAACAATATCGTCATCAACCTTCATGATCCTGATTTAAAAAAAAAAATATACGTAGTTAGTGATAATTAATATTAAAAAACATATAGAATTAATAAATGATATAGTATTTAAAATTTATATTATAATTATTCAAAGAACATATAGGATAAATCAAAGAACATCGAAGAAAAGAACATAAGGGATAAAAATAAAGAACATTCATATGACTGTTCAATAATCATAATAATGAACATAAGTAAACTTAATAAAGAACATCATCTTTGACAAAATATAAAGAACATCATCTTCAACCTTTGTCATATGGATCTCAATTTCATAAATATCAAAATTGAAAAAAAAATCAATGATATTTTTACAATAATCGTGCAATATAATAACGAAATATAATCAACGTGATAAGCAAAATTCTGAAATTAAAATCATAACAAATAAAATTAAATTACCTACTCCATCGATTACAATGTCCTCATATTTTGCTCTATATTTTTCTCCCTACAAAATTCTCTATAAATTTTGTTCTCTCTCTTAATTCGAAATTGAAATATGGTGAAATTTAATTTTGGAAGTTATGTAAAAATGGAGAATATCACATTGAATCCCATGAATTGTAGAAGAGATTGGGTTTTTTTTTTAATAATAAACTGAAATGTTAAAAACGCATCATTTAACACTAGATGTACCTGCAATTTTCATTTAAAGAACTCCCAACTCGTGTACAAACAAATGGAGCTAAAGTCTATGCATTAGTAATGGTATAGTAGTTGGCTTTTCGTGCTAACTAGGAAACCACTACTACCCAAATTATGATTAGAATAAAGTAGAAATGGATATATCAAATAAAACATCTCAAAATGGAATGTTGTTGCATTTTTCCTTGACAATGGGAAGTATAAAGGATTCAATATGAATAATATTTCCTAAACCTAAGAGAAGAATATTCTACGTATATTTTCTATGATAGTTGGTCTTTATTAGTGAGACTATGTCACTCTAGTGTTAAGTATCAATCACTATAGATTTACCCTTATGCGCAAGGCACCCTTAGGTGAGGATAATTAGTAAACCTTTCGGCTTATTAGTTATTAATCTCTGTTAGAAGCTTAGAACACAAAATGTTGTGCACTTGTGCATGTTTAAAAATCCACATCTAATATTGTTAAAATGGGTCTAAACTCTAAAGTCTAAACACATTAGTATTGTACAATGGTTGGTGTTTAGCGCAAACCACTATAAGGGTTCGGTATAAAATGTTGATTTTGTTAGTCTTTTGTGAGGGCATGTCACACTAGTGTTAAATTTTAAAATATAATTTGTTAGTGGTTTGTGCTAAGTGTCACCTAAAGCATGGAAGGTGCCAAGGTATCATTAGATGAGGATGGCTAGTTAACCTTATGGCTTATTGAATTAGTTGCTTGATTTTGTTAGATTACAATGTTACAATGATGAGGGAACTTATCATTTCAGGTTGAGTTGTTTCAACATCCACATCTCTTATTGTTACAAGTTAATAATCGAACTTTTGACCTTCCTGGAGGCCGCTTAAGGCAGGGTGAATCAGGTAATTCACATCATAAGTTCATAACAGTTTCGAGATGTAGAAGTAGGGGAGTACATTTGCTTACTTTGCTTGTGATTTAGATCTTGAAGGGTTGCGTCGCAAACTTTCGAGGAAGCTATCTCTTGATGAAGGCAGTGACGAGGTAGAATGGGAGGTAATTAAATCATTGGTTACTATTAATATTGGAGTTGATGTATTAATTCTTTACTTTAATCTTAATGTTAGAATTATTGTAACTTTAAATTGCTATCTTTCTAAATCTAGGTGGGAGATTGCCTTGGAATGTGGTGGAGGCCAGATTTTGAGACCTTGCTCTACCCATATTTGCCACCTAATATCAAGCAACCCAAGGTTGGTTTAAATCAATTATTGTACTAGATTATCATATCTATATAACTAGTGTACTCAACTGATTTAATTTGACTGTCATGTTTGTAGGAGTGTGCCAAGCTATTTTTGGTGAAGTTGCCAGTAAGTCGAAAATTCATTGTGCCAAAGAATCTAAAGTTGCTCGCTGTTCCGTTATGTCAGGTTCATGACAACCACAAGGTATCAACCTTGTTTTTGATTGTTGTATGATTCAGCTATTTGTGTGGATTTGGAATTGCGTGGTACTGTTGTTTCCCTTGAAATCTTAGCTTTGATGGGTGTTATAAAAGCCTTTTGCCTGGAATACTTAAGTTGCCATTCATGTCGTGAACCTCGTGATGTCTGTTTGGTTAATTTTTGTCTGATCACAAGTCTGTTTGTTTGTTGCATATAATGAGAAAACAAAAACCACTTAGGTAACTACTTATCTCATTCCACTAGTATACAATCGACATCCTTGTTGCATAGTTATATTTTACATCTCAAAAGATATACAGTACATTGAGCTATAGAAGCTCTTTTAATGCATTGGATCCGAACCCTCAGCTCAATGACCTGCTAAAATGTGGTTCGATTATACTTGCTCAATTGGCTCGTCAAGTCAGTTGGGGATCTTGTAAATTCAGTTTCAGTATACACTTTGGAATTGAACTGTTATTATTTTAATTTTTTAATTCAGTTTATTTGAGTGAATCCCAACACTACTATTTTCGTGTGCTGAGCCTAAAAAATCTTAAAAATTATTGCCGAACTGCCAGTTATGCTGCCTTTCTTCACTAATAGCTCATATGTTTTGTGTAGGAAGTCATACCTTTGTACTCTCCAGTCTCTGATCGTTCTAGTTACTTTTTTCGTAGACAATTTACTTTCTTAGATGGAGTTTTTAATAGCTTTTCATCTTATATGATGTTGTGTGTTGCTGGAAATGCTTTTTATAGAAGATTGATAAATTTATTATCTTATGCTTGTAGACATATGGACCCATAATAGCTGGGATCCCGCAGCTATTATCAAAGTATTCTTTCAACATGATCGAGGCTTAGAGTTCATGGAAGTAATGTAATACAATATATATTATATTGGAGATTAATGATATGTAGCAGAAAGGATTTTAGTTCTGGGCAGAGCATGGAGTAGTCTACTGGCGCTTTCTTTGTACGGTGAACTTTAACTAGTATCATAGAGTAGTTGATTGTGGTTGTAATTGTATTGGTATATAAGATAGATTTATTTGGTTTTGATATTAGGTGTGTTTTGCTGTTACATGTGTATTAAAGAATCATTGTGAGGAAAAGGGGTACTACTGTGTATATCAACATAGCTACGATAATGGAACTATATTGTGTTTGACTGTTTCTTATATGTCTCAAAGATTGACTAGTTTTTTACGGACCGCTCAAAGTTCGTATTATTCAACATTTTTTTTGTTTTGCTTTTAGAAAAATTGTCAAAAATAATATAAACTTTGAGTGGTCCGCCAAAAACAAGTCAATCTTTTAATTATTTTTGAATAATACAAATTTTGGGGAGTATCCGCTATAAACAGGTTATAACCGGTTAGTGACTTGATTAGTAGGTATATAGGACACATGTTGTTATTGGTTTGACACTTTAATTTTTATTTTTTTTAATTTAATGTCTTTAATATTTATTTTTATTATGTTATTACTATATTTATTTAAAAAAAAAAAAAAATCTTCCCCTACCAGCCACCCTTTCTCCTCCCTGCCAACATCCACTTTCCCCCACTCCTGGGCCTTCGGCGACCCCCTACCAGCACCCCAGCCCCCTCCCCTGCACCGGCGACACCAACCCCGGCCTCCTTACCGCTCCCTCTCCCTTCCCCGACTCCTACCTACCACGTAATAATCAACCGCGCGAGTCACCGCCACACGGCTCTGCCCGAACTCAAATCGAAAACGCCACGATGATGATGATTTCTCCGGCAACAAAGATGATTTCCCCCATGAAATCACGGTAACCAATCGTCAATACTCCGGCGAGTGAAAACCCTAACTCCGACGACGTATCAATCCCATTGCTCCAACATTCAGATTCGTTGGTGGTTTGAAGGGAGGGGAATGAGGTTTCGGTGATGGTGGTTGGGGGAGGGTAGGGCGACAACAACGGTGACGAAGGTAGGAATGGCCGGTGGCGAGATGACTGGGCTGGCGCCGCCGGGGGGTTTGGGGAGGGGAGTTGTTGGTGGGGGGGAACAGGAGGTGGCTGGTGATGAGGGAGGGAGGGGTTTTTTTTAATAATTATTTTAATAATTTAATTGTTAATTAATTACAATTAATTTTTTTGAGTTAAGCTATAATTAAAGCTTTAATTAGGAGTTAATTAAACAATTTATAAAAAAAAATAAATAAAAAATGTTAACCGGTTATTTAGGTTTCAGGTAAAATATCTCGTTTAAAGCGGATACTCCACAAAGTTTATATAATTAAAAAATAATCAAAAGATTGACTGGTTTTTGGCGGATCGCTCAAAGTTTGCATTATCAACCCGTTACGGACCGTAGACCGATAACAAACCGAACTGCTCAAAACCGAACCAAAAGGGAACCAAACCAAATGGTTTATAAACCCGTTATTGACCCGAACTATTTATAAACCAAAACCGTTTAAACCGTAGAAAAAATCGTTTAAACCGAACAATTTGTAACCCGCTAACCGTTTAAACCGACCCGTTTATGAACCGAAACCATTTGAACCGCTGGAAAAAATGTTTAAACCGAACTGCTATAACCCGTTAAACCTTTAAAACTGAACTGTTTTCAAACCGCAACTTGTTTTAACCGATTCGATTACAAACTGGTTAATTCAAATTGAATTATTTACAACCTAAATACAATTAATGTTTAAAGTAATTTAACCGTAGCCATTGGTAATTTTGTAAATATAACATATACATCTAATATGTCGTTGTATTAGATTACAACGTAAAAAAGTTAATAAAAGTAGATCTAATCAAACGGCTTAGGTTAATACAACGATATATATCACCTAGGCCAACGACATTATTGATGTCGTTTTAGATTACTTATTTATTTTAATTAATATAAAATGTAACATGCTAGTATTAATGTATTATATATATATATATATATATATATATATATATATATATATATATATATATATATATATATATACTTTAATTTAACAATGGTAACAATAAATATATATTTAAAATAAATAACTTTAATTATTCCAAAAAATACATTTCATCTACATTTTACATTAAGAATAAAAAAGTTTAGGATTTACATTTTACATATGATCGTAAATTATCTTAATAACAAAATTAACCTAAAAAAAAATCCTAAAAACAAAAGTCAGCAACAATCTTGAAGCAGCAACACAGTACCGAAGAGCAGAAGAAACAGCAGCAGCAGGCAGGAACCAGCTTAGGCAACAACAGATCCGCAACTCAGCAAAAGCAGGCAACAATATAAGCAGAAGCAGCTCAGCAGGAACAACAACCAAAAGTAGATAAGCAGCTCACAAAACATCAGTTCAACCAACTTCATAACTAATTTTTATTTTTAAAAATTGCTCTCAGATTTACGTTTATCGTACCATCACTGAGAAATGGTTGTTATAACTTAAAACTTGAAAAATGTTGCCAGCAAGTACATATACATTGAAGTCTCAACATAAATGACAAGGGCAACGATGATTCAAGATAAATTAAAACAGCAAGCATAAGAAACAGCAGCAACAAAACTTATCATAAACACAAAAGGCAGCAACAATACTAAAGCAGCAACACAACACCCAAGAGCAGAAGAAACAGCAGCAGCCTCAAGCTGGCAGGAGGCAGGAACCAGCTCAGGCAGCAACAAATTAGCAGTTTAGTAGAAGCAGGCAACAGAATAAGCAGAAGCAGCTCAACATGAATTGTAACCAGATTTAAGTTTACAATTTTTTGTTTTAAAAATTGCTCTCAGATTTAAGTTTACAATTTCATCACTCAGCAGTGGGTGTTTTAACCTAAATCTTGAAAAATGCTACCAGCAAGTCTCAAAATAAATGACAAGAGCAATGATTTTTCAAGATAAAATAAAACAACCACAGTGAGGCAACAGCAACAAGTACATATATAACAACAGCCACAGCGAGGCAGCACCGCTGCACAAATACCTGTTATGTAGATGAAGCACTTTCTGCTTCAATCACTTTACCAACAAGGAGGACGTCTTCCTCAACATCCCCTTGATAACCACGACACCAGTTTTGGGTGGTAACCAATGCCTCAACATTCTTTGGCAAAAGCTTACCCCTATATTTGTTCAAAATACGACCACCCAAACTAAAAGAAGATTCGGAGGCCACCAATGTAATAGGAATGGCCAAAACATCCCTTGCTATATTAGCTAAAATAAGAAAAGAAGAAGCTTGAGATTCCCAATACTTGAGAACATCAAAATGTTCCCCTTGAATTATTCGCGAACGAGGTCCATTCAAATATGACTCAAGATCAGCCAGAGGGCATCTAGTTGAATCACCATCTTCGTCATCATCAATCTCACACAACTGAAACAGTTTTTTTTATAAAAAGTTCTATTACAGATAAAAATAAAATACTGCCATTAATATTTTATAACATAATTACCGTGAAAATATTTTGAGAATTCAACATGCGATTAGAATTTTCAGATTGAGCTGTGACGGAAGGGACAGGATTTCTGCAGCTTGTATTAGATGTACTAGAATAAAATTTATAAAGGTCACAAAGAGCTTCCTTAATCATCTGAATCTTTTCGTCGCATGCCTCACCATCATACAACAAGTTCAACATTTTTCTCACTCGATACAGCTTATAACGAGGATCAAGAGCAACAACAACTGAAAGAATCAAACAATAATCCTCCCAATAACCCTCAAACTTCTCAAGCATAACTGCTGCCATGGGTGCAAGTTTAGGGTCTTTATGGGCTTGATTAATAGTGTACTCAATTTTTAAAACACTAACAAAATAAAGATTAGCAGTGGGATATTCAGTACTAGAAAATAACATAGTAATATCATAATATGACTGAAGGAAATCACAAATTTTTTGAATGGTATCCCATTCATCAGCATCAAGTCTATAAGAAATACCCAAAAACCTACTAGTATATAGAATCAAGGCATCCTTAGCTTCTAAGGCTTTTCGGAGCGTTGTATAAGTGGCAGTCCAACGAGTCACAACATCGAGACATAACTTACTATTAAAAGCACACTGTAACTCAGACAAAGCATGCTCAAATTGAGTTAATCTAGAATCAGAAGCATCAGTATATTTAACAACTTCACGCAATTTAACAACACTTTCATGAACTTCTTTTAAACCTCTTTGAACAATAAGATTTAAAACATGAGCTGATCGTCGAACATGAAAGAATTTACCATTACAAGGAAGAGGAGAGCATTGCATTAATTCTTTTTTCAAATATTCAACCATAACATTCATAGAACGAGCATTATCAACGGTCATTGAAAAAGCCTTACCTTGAAGGTTCCACTCTTTGATCAGTTTAAACCCAAACTTTCCAACCTCAACACCAGTATGGAGAGGGCCACAATATCTAAAATTTAAAAATTTAGACCTAAGAGACCAACTGTCATCAACATAATGAGCAATCAAAGTGAGATAGCCTCGGTTAGTACATGCAGTCCACAAGTCACATGTAAAGCTAACTCTAACATAAACATTAGCCAAAGACTCATGCAACAAGGATTTATATTTATCATACTTAGCAATACAATACTTTAACATAGTTTTTCTACAAACATGCTTCACCTTAGGATTCAAATATGCATGAAGTTCCCTAAGATATTCATGCTCTACAATATTTAAAGGATATGCATGGCAGATTATAGCTTTAGCAAACTGTTGTAAATAAGTTTTTTAATCAAATGCTGATTCTTCACCTTGTTGAAGACCATGGTTTAGCAAGCATGCGTTAATATGAGTTCTACAAGTTGAAGTACTTGATCTACCAGGTGCTTTATATTCTTTGCCACACAAATTACAACGAGCATATTCTACCCTTTCATTACCTATTGTCTTAAAAAAAATGTGTAATGCTTCCATATACCTGAGGTTCTTTGACGTTTATTACCAGCAGTAGTGATAATGCTGGTACTATGAGCATCATCAACCGGGCCAGAGGGAGCTTGAGAGCTTACAGTTTCAAAATATGATTGCCTCTTAAAGTCAAATTCATCATACGCATGATACATGACTTAAACAAAAAAAAAAAAAAAAAAAAACAGCATGTATAAGTACCAAATGAAGTGACACAGATTCTACTAATAGTGAGCAACTGAGCATGCAACCTTGTCAATACACATACAAGTATACAACTAATACAATCATACAAGTATACACCCTCAACATTCATAAATCATAATACCTTCCAGTTCCCTTTTATTTATTACTAAAAAAAAGCATACAACAACAAACCAAATAAACCAGTATATCAAAACGCAACCAAAAGACAACAAAGACTGGAAACATAATGACCTAATGTAGACCAGTATATCAAAAATTGCAAATTCTTAAATTGAATTTTTAATTAGGTATAGTTAGAAAAATCTAGAACATGATCAACACTGTGTTTGGATTAAAAGAACCAAGGGGAGGAGAGGAAACACGAGAAATATAAACATGTTCCAAATATGATTCCCACCTTCCCTTCCCTTCCCTTCCTTGCTCTCCCTTTCATCAACGTATATCAAAATAAGCAAATAACCAAAAAGTAGACCCCTCCCCCCAAATCTCCCTACCCTCGCGTTCCCTCCAAATCCCCTCATCCAAACACACAATAAATCTCAAAATTAATGAGTGAATGCAGAAAGTGAATTAGAATTAGATAAAATTCGGAAAAATAAATCACAAAGTTCAGAAAATACCTAAAAACTTTCGAGGAAAAGCCCACAATATTCGGGATTAGAGTTTGAAGGTTGAAATGGTTGCTTGCCGAATAGATGAACAAATTTCACCAGATTTTCAATGCAAAATCGTTTATAATTTCACCGGATTTTCAATGCAATAACGTTTATAATTTCACCCAAGTTTAACAGAAACCAGGAGAAAGGAACCGTATGAGTGTATGAGAGATTGAGAGGTGGTATTTCTGTATGAGTATGAGACTGTATGAGAGATTGAGAGGAAGAGAGAGAAGACAGAAAAAGGGGCGCCGAATAGAGATGCTCAGATTATGAGATCAGGGTTATATTTGCTAGGGTTAATTTTAACTTTTTTAATGAAATCTAACCGTTGGTTTCAATCTAACCGTTCATTTTTTTTTGTTTGTTTGTTTTTTTTATTTAATGTGTGGCTGGCAGGATTCACAGATTCTAGAAATCTGTTTTTTTTTTTTTTTTATGACCGTTTCTTTTATTTTATTTTTTTAATTTTCTGTTTTTTTTTCTTTTCTTTTCCAAAAAAGAAAAAAACTAAGTAAAATATTATAAATATATATGTATATATTTATTTCAAAAAAAAATATTTATATATGTATATATTATTTCCCACAATTCTATCATTAATTATTATTATTATTATTATTATTATTATTATTATTATTATTATTATTATTATTAATTTTCCGAGGTAAATGCGGTTTATAGTTTATCTTAATTGAAAAATGTAGCTTTAAACGATTCTTATTTCGTTGTACACTTGTACAGTTGCACTATATAAATAATATAAATATATAATGGTTTCGTGGCTTTCGTCCATTTAGCCTTTCAGGCTGTTTGAGTTAATAACCTAAATAAAGTAACAAACTAATCCATTTAACCTTATGTAACTTATAAATTGTAAGAAACGCAAATGTTTGGAAATTGAAATTGATTCAATACAACATTATCGACATAGTTAATGTATATCAGTATAAGTATATGACTAATATGAGTATATATGTATATCAGTATATGTAATAAATAATAACGTATGGTACGATTGGTATCATACTATCATTGGTATGTATAGATAATCGATAAACGTATCTGATTATTAAAAATTAAAACACTTGATGATCGATCTAATTGAATACTTCTACTTCCTCAATTATCGATTTATCGTATTCAAAGTACTAACTCATCAAATTATGGTCATGACGTGATCTTTAAAACAATCAAAACAAGAAGCTGATAGCTTGATAATATTTGATAATGAAATAATAATACATTAATACCTTATAAATTTGTAATAAACTAATATCTAATAAACAACAACAAGAGTGTAACCAAACTTGAAACATAACATATTTATAAAATAATAAAATAAATGAGGATTTGTGTAATTGTATATAGTCCAATGTGTGAATCGATTTATCGTATTCAAAGTAGCAACTCATCAAATCATGGTCATGACGCGATCTGTAAAACAATCAAACAAGAAGTGCATAGCTTGATAATATTTGATAATGGAACAATAATACATTAATGCCTAATAACAAGAGTATAACCAAACTTGAAACATAACATATTAACATGATATAGAATAACTGAATAAGTGAATAACTGAATAAATGAAGATTTGTGTAATTGTATATAATCCGATGTCTGAAAATGAAGTGATGAAGTCCCAACTTGATATAAACCGAAACCAGCTAACCGATCAAAAGCCTCTTAAAACCCAATTTCTACTCGATCCATTATTTTTTTCACCGACCTATGCCGACCCGCTAATGAAATGGAAATACTAGTCCCAACTTGATATAAAACAAAATGCCCTAACTGGCTAAAACCACTTTTTAGAACCCGATTTCAACCCGAATCAAACCGGTCCGCTAAAGAAATGAACCATTTCGACTCGATCCAATTTAACCAATTACCAAACTAACCCGAACGATTTTAGCACCAAACCGAGTATAAACTGAACTGATATGAATCGAACTAGCATTAACCCAGGTAAACCCGCCCCTGAACCGACCCGTTTCAAACCTATTCGTTCATGACCAAACCGATATGAACCCAAACCGACATTGACTCGGGTAAAACCGCCCCTGAACCGACCCGTTTCAAACCGACCCGATAATGACCCGAACCGTTTATAAACCGAACCGGCATTGACCCGGCTAAACCCGCCCCTGACCCGAACCGTTTATAAACTGAACCGACATGACCCGAACCGTTTGTAAACCGAACCGGCATTGACCAGGGTAAACTCGCCCCCTAAACCGATCTGATTATGACCGAACCGTTTATAAACTGAACCGTTTATGACCCGAACCAAATTTAAACCGTACAAAAATAAACCGAAATCGTACCGACCCGAGACTAATCAGAACCGAACTGTCCCATCAACTAAATAAAACCGTTTTAACCCGAACCGTTTCAAACCGAAACCGTTTCAAATCGAATTGCCAAACCAAATTCTCACCCCTTTCACTTTCACCCCTAGTCCCAATTTCCACTCCACTTGAGAAAATCATCAACTCCGTACCTACTTTGTATATACTGGTATATACAACAATCATATAATAATCCGCGTGTCAATAATGATGATGCGTTGACATGTCAAAACCCACGGCATTTTCTTTCATTTTCTCCTCTGCTAAATCAAATCAACAACGACGACTTCGCTGCGACTTTTCTCTTCTTTCTCTCTTCTAAATCTCTCTCTCAACTTCTCTTCTGCTAAGCTTCAGCAGATACAACTATGCCCAACAGAGGCGGCTTCAATCTCAGGCTCGATGTTCCTCCTGATGAAGATTCTCTTGCCAAATTTCTGTAATTCTTTCCTTCAATTACTCGATTTTCATAATGTATTTCATTTCATTTGATTTTGTTTTGTTCATCTTTTTTTTTTTTTATTTAATTTTCCTGGTTTTTGTTTGATTTTTTTGGTAGAACTCAAAGTGGTACATTTCGTCATGGTGATCTTCTGGTTAATTTGGATGGAATTCGAATTGTCCCCCAAACTGATTCTGATGCTGTAAGTTAGTTTTCTACGAAGTACTTCTTAATTATTTAAGGTTAATTTAATTTTCTGATATTAATTTTATAATTTTTGAATAATTGTTGATTTATTTTTAATGTTGATTGAAATTTAAGTTGAATGTTGTGAAATGAAATGAAATGAAATGAAATGGTGGAAGTAATTGTTGTGAAAGGATTTCAAATTCTTACTAGAGATGTTGGTTAGAATCCTATATCAAAAGCTGTTTATGAATCGAAATGATTGAGATTGTCTAATTTCGTCATGAATTTCTGAAGTTGTTTACGACTCTACTTGATACTCTTTTAAAGTTAAATTGCATGTGTATGTCGAGAGTCGCATGAGTTTTGTACATAGGTATGATTGTTAGCTCTTAACTGATCTCCTAGGTGAATAAAATAATTGTCGAACTTCATTATTAGATTTGGATTATAAGGAAGCAAATTATATAATATACGAAGTATATTTCACTAAAGTTGTCTGATTCTTCCAACTTACTTCGTATAACGGAATGGCAATTTAGTAAATGTCTAATCAATAAAAGGGAGTGCCATTGCCTTTCAGCATACATTGGAGCTACTTAAATTCCCTCTTCCCCTACGAAATCCATATGACCGGAAATTGGATGGTGACTGGGTACGGTTTGCTCTATTGACTTGTTTGTGCTGCATGTGGTGATGTTATCAAGAGATTTCAAGTGGCTTATTCCGGTTTCTGCCTTGATGATACTTCTTCTTTCCTTTGATGGATTCTGGCATGTATAGACAAGAATAGTCATGCATCTTACATACAGAAAGAGAGTGTTTTTAACTTTATAGTTGCTAGAAAATAATACTTCATCAATGAGTAATTAATTATTTTTAAGACATACTTGTATATCTACATCAAAATGATTCTTTTTTTTTTGTCTTTTTTTTTTTTTCCTCTTATATAATCTATTTCATATAAAGGCAATGTTAGCATGCCTAGGCTCTATAAAAAAAACTCTTTAATTTGGCATGTGGAAAACTCTTATTGCTCGATTCCCCCCCCCCCTCCTCTCCTCCCCTTTCCCCTCCCCAAAGTGCAAGAATGGTAGTTAACTAATTAAAACCATCGACGCTTGGTCTTATAATAAGCTCCTAAAGCCATTCTTTTCAAGTATTCAATTTTCTTTTTAATGCCTATAATGAAGTGCAACTTAGCGATTAGTCTTGATTTTGTTTCATAAATAACTGCTCACTGTCATCTTATTTGTTGCCCTCAGCCTCCTCCCCCATCAAGCCGTTGGACAACCAGATAAGCTTGGCTGATGTAGACACAATTAAGGTCATTGGAAAAGGTAGTGGTGGACTTGTGCAGCTGGTACAGCACAAATGGACTAACCAGTTCTTTGCTTTGAAGGTAAGGGTTTAGTGAAATTACTAGACCAAAAGGTTGTAGGGTTATCAATGCATTCTGATCCAGTGGGGGATCCAGTATGGGTTCAGTGGGTTCCCATACTGGATTCAAGAGAAACTTCGTAATTCGGAGGAAACAAAAATATAAGTTAAATATAAACGAAAGTACTATGTAACACTATGCACGTTCATGGCTAAGTGGTCAAGTACTTTAGTTGAAATACAATCACTAGCTTGGCGCGGGATCAAACCCCTTGCCAAACCACTTTCTTTTTTTTTGTCTTTTTCTTATAATTTTTTTCATCTTCACATTTTATATCTTAGCGCCTAGCCTATTAATTTCTATGTTTATTTAAGAAATTTTTTTTTTGCTGCTTCATTTGATTTTTATTATATTGTTTTTACTTTTCATTTAAATCAAAGCACATAGTGGAGCAAAATTTTTACTCAATCATACATTTTGTTTATCTATTTTTTTTACTTGACATTTTATTACTAGCTAGCTTGATCAATCAATCAATCAAAGCCTTAATCCCATATTGGGGTCGGCTATATGAACCAAATTTGATTATTCCGTGTGGTCATCCACAAAAATCTTCCTCCTCCATCCCTTACAACCCAATGCCTCATCCTCATGCAAATTCATATGCTTCATATCCTTCTTAACTCCTTTCAACCAAGTCATTTTCGGTCTCCTTCTCCCTCGTGTAATCTCTCCATGGTTCCACTCTTCCACTCTTCATACCGGTGCACCCTCGGGTCTCCGTCTTACATACCCAAACCAACGTAGACGATTTTCCCTTAGGTGTGGCAGGCACTTACTTTCGTAAGAAAGTAGGTGTGGCGGGCCTAATGTTTTCTGTAATTTTTTTTTTTGCTTCATTTCATTTTTATTATTGTAAAATATTTTTCCTTTTCATTTAAATCAAAGCATATACTTCGTATATTATTTTACACAATCGTGCTTGTAATTTTAATCGACACGTTTTGACTTCTGCACTATTCACATCACTTAGTTTGATTTTATTTTGTGATATAGTGTTATGAAAAAACATACTCATGCGGGCCGGTGTTTTATTAAAATTTGTCTCTAATGCTTATTTTTCAAATATCACATTCTTATAAATTTTGCTACGTAATTAAATATGTTTAAATTAAAGAGTATATCTTGGCAAACATGACTATATAAAATGTGTCAACTAATACGAAGTATGAAATAGAGGAAGTATTTTATTATATTTCTCGATTACATCAATTCGATAACTTATTTTATGTTTGATAACTCCAAGAATTTGCATCCATAAGGAAAAATTCCTGGATCCGTCACGGTTCTGATGTGCCACTAGTAACTATAAATACTTCATGACTTTTACTATTGCCCAATTGTTTGCATCAATAATTGTTTTTTTAAGAACGGTATTTTTTTTGTCTATACTCTACACTGTATTAGATCCGATAGTTTTATTGTGTTTTGTCTTGCAATTATTTGAAACTTTACATTTCAATATTTAATACTCGCTCTGTTTTCTATTCATGTATCCAATTGTTTTTATCTCACACTTTTCAATGCATTTTTTTAATCGTCAATATTCTCCAAATCCGTATTATAATGAATTATAAAAAGTTACTTTTTGAAACCACATTTCGAGGCGTTTTTAACAAGAACACACATGACTATGTCTTTCCTTGCTTGTTGGTGAGAATTCATGGTCAAACTTTGAGTTATGTCTTTCCTTGCTTGTTGGTGAGAATTCATGGTCAAACTTTGAGCTCTTTACCCGAGACTATAGTGAGCGGGCACATCATTTGGAAACGGAATTCTTACCATTTGAACTATTAAAGGCTGTAGCGAATGTGTATAAGACAATAGTTAATATGTTTCTGTTAAGTCAGTCTGAAATGTGATTTCTCTTGTTACTTTGTTAGATCTTGTTTTCTGGTTTTGGATGTTTAATTAGATAATCTTGAAGCAAGTGTTTGTAGATGTCTTTCAACTCCCCTTTATAGAAGAAAAGGAAGATCTGAACAAAATTGATGTAAAAGAAAAGGTCCAAGCAGATGGAAAGGACAAAACATAGGATCAATTTCTAATGGAGATGATATACAAGGTTCGCCCCTTGGCGCTAATGAGCCCCTTGGATGGGCAATGATGTGCAAGGTTCGCCCCTTGGGGCTAACGAGCCCCTTGGATGGGCGATGATATGCATGACGGCCCTGCCCTTGGATGGGTGATGATACGATTTGCTCTTTACATGAACAATTTTATATAACTATATGTATCTTTCGTACACTTTCGTTATAACTATTGAACAGTGTTAGTGACACCTATGTGGACCAAATTGATTGGGCCTTTGTTATTAATGAACAGAGCCCATGAGGGTGGTTCACTTTTCGATGCTTATTTTTCTCTATATATAGCAAGTGTTTCCTTACTCATATCTCGTTCACAACTTCAATCTTAAAAACATTTGTAGTGAGAGAAAACCTTTGTAAGAAAAGGTAGCAAGAAGAGGTTGGCAAACTCTTGCATGAAGGTAGGCGATGAAACCTTCGTGACCAAGCATTAGATGGAGCTTCTTTCAATTGGAAGATGTTAGCTTTAAGGGTATGCCTTTGTTTCCTTGTGATTTCTTTCTTGCTTATGGCTTCGTCTTCAAGTTCTTCTCTTAGTTAATTGTTAACGGGAAGCTCTTTAAGAGTGCCCGCCGTGAGAGTAGCGGCGGATTGTTTAGTTGCTTCCAACATCCCTAATGCCGACTTGTTGTCGGATTTTCCTAGTGGATTTACATACTCGTGTTATGAGGTAGATTGGATCCGTGGCCTACCCCCGTTCTGTTAGGAGTGTATGTGATAAGTACCTTGTGAATGGTGTAGTTGAAATAATGTCGAGGGAAAGCACAGACGATGAAAGGTCGGGTGATGAAGAGAATAACCTCGGGGAGATCAGGGCAATGAAGAGGAATATCCATTAAGGGGGGTGGGGGGGAAGTTTATCGACTTATGGGTTAAGAGCGGTGTTTAGGCGCCGATTGGATTAGTAGCGCTCTCGATGACTGTTATAACTATTATATTCACTTGGTGAGCGGGACACCGCGATGAGTTCGCCTCCCAGGTGTGTGCAGTTGTGTATTGGGTTTCGTTTTCCTAAGAGATGTGCCTTCCTCTCCTTTCCTTTGTTAAGAGATTGCTTTGTCAATACAACGTAGCCATTTGTAACTTAACGCCCAACGCTTGGCTTCAAGTGTACTCATTTTTAGTGGTGTGCTCTATGTTAGACAGATCTCCAACTTTGAGGCTTTGGAGAAATTTGTTCAAGTTGGTCTCATTCAAGGATAATTTTGGGCTTGCTAGGTGGACGTTTCGCGTCCGCAGGGGTTTAAGAGTAGTGAGGGACCTGACCTCGAAAATGAAGAATGAAAATTTTTGGGGCTCATTTGTGGATATTTATTGTTGTAGTTGGGATATCCTCTTGGTTCCTAACATAGGGGACCCCAACTTAAGGTTGAATTATGACATCCCCCGATGAAAAGGAAGGAGGCTATAGTTGCTTTGTGCCAAGAGTCACATGATCAAGGGCGATGCACAGATTGTGCCATTAATGAGAGGAAACTCTATGCTCTCGGCCTTGGCTTCCGTTATCCGCTAGGTATGATGGTTAGGGGCTTTTGCACTTGTTATTGTGATTATTTTTGTCTAACTTTTAACTTTCTTTTGACTTGTCTACAACTGTGCCATGGACAAGGAGGTACAAAAGAACAAGAAGATCTTAAACTTACAAGTTGCCATGATGAAAAAGGCGATGAAGACTAGGTAGGCACCACCCATCGTTTTTGAATATATTTTGTGTTATGAATCTCATAACTTAATATTGCTTGCAAAAATTCCAAGAAGCCCTTAGGCGTTCAACCCGTGGTCATGGCGCATGGGTAGAGCGCTACGGTTAACCAACAACAAGTCTCAGTTCTAGGAAAGAGAAACCCAGCCTCAATTCATGATGGAAGAAGGCTTTGATCACTCGGCCGAAGCCATCTCCTGCCCCATTGTTAATGCCATGCTTCCCACTTGCCATGCTTTATTATTAGTTTATTAGAAAAAGGAAAAAAGAAAAAAAAAAAAAGTACTCCAATTTGACATGAGTAGGTGACATACAATTTAAAAAGAAAAAAGTTTTCTCTCTCATTCTCTCCCCTCAAAAACTTGACTTTAATACAGTAGCATTGTAGTAGTACGACTATTGGTGTTTTGACTTCGCTCCTTTGAGCTCCGACGTCGGATTTCCACCAAATCACCACCGCTTCACCGTCTTAGCACACTTGCCGCACCTCTACCGTTATTTAAGGAATTTAAATTTATTGGGTTTTTAATTGTTCAATTTCATACTTACCAAAAAAATTGTTCAATTTCATTCAATAATCTAGGGTTTAGTTTTTTACAAATTTGTCGTCAGTTAAATTAATCTTTGAATCATTGGTCTTAATCCTCAATTAATTGCATAAATTTAATATTTTAAGGACTATTAGATTTAAGAATGTAGCTTTTGTAAGTTGCTAAATGCTAATTTGCTACACTTGTTAAATTGTGATTTTGTTGGTTTGTTCTTGTGTTACTTGCTAAATTGCATAAATTATGTTCTTTTGGTTGAGAACTAGTGATATTGTGGTATGGTTTATAAGAATTATTGTGTCAATAATTAGACTCGAGTAGGTAAAGTTTTTGTTTTATTTGACAAATTTGGTTTATATTATCTAATAATTCTATTAAAGTGTGATTATATTGAATTATTTTGTTATCGATCAGTTTGTATTCGGTGGTGCCCTAGCTCCGCCACTAGCCACGAACAGTCACCACTTTCTTATATTTGATGAGTCATGCGACTGTTTGATTGTCTTTATGTATTCTCAGTAATATCTGAATTTGAAGCAATTTTGTCTCGGCTCTATTACTCTCTCTCTCCCTCTCTCTCTGGGTGTGTAGACCCCGAGAGAGAGAGCTAGAGAGGTAAGTAACACACACTTAACTTAGCTGTCATTACATTCATCTTAATGTTTTGAATGGAATGTTTGGATCTTGAGGCTGAATTTCTCTTCTGAACCTTCTTTCATGTTTAGAATGACATCATATTGGTGACTTTGAGCTTTGGACAGTTCTGGACACTCATTACTCTTTTATAAGGAATACTACAGAAACTGGACAAGTACATGGAATGGAATCATCTATTTCAGGATGATCATTGTCATGAGACATTTGTGCATGTTGATGTATTATCATATTGGTAAATCTTCTAAAAGAACATTCAGATTTCCAATATGTAAATGTACCCCACCTTGTCTATATTCTTTGAGTTCAATGTACCAAATTGAAGCCTTTGGGAAAGAATTTGTCTGCATACATCGTGGTTTACTGATTTGTAATGCTGTCCTATCATGGACTCCGTTCCTTGTCTGGAAAACTCCAGCCGAACATAGCTTGATACATAAGCTTGGATTTTATTTTTAATTTTTTTATGTTCTCTCTAAAGAATGTGCCTTCAAATCTTAAATAATCTATCTGACAATATTCACATAGTGCACATTCAGTGAGATTTAGATTTTCTTGCAATGACACCTTTACCTTACCATTAGGAAAGCATTGACTTCACTTCCAAACTTTCCTAGAATTGTTTTTGACTGGAGTGTTTATTAATTGTAGAAATTTTAATTACATGTTTCAAGTCCTTTTCTCCTCAAGGTGAAGATGTTGTCTGACTTGTGTCTATGCTACATCCCTAGCATCAATTGCTTATTTGTTATATTTTTTTTTGCTGCTGTTTGAACTTTATTTTATAATTTCTATTTCATGGATGTCAAAGTCATGATTTTGCAAAATGATGTACTAATCTGTCTGCTTCTTTTTCATCTTTTCATGGGGTAACTTCAGCACATTTTCCTAGTTCTATAGGCTATGTCAGGCTCTTCATTTCACCTCAAGTTGTCTAGTCTATGTGATTCTTTACCACTCGGACTCTTCATATGTAGCGTGCAAGATCTGATCAACTATCTTTTCTAAGTATACTTTTACCACCTTAAAGAAAACCCTCTTTTGTGATTAATTACCTTATAACTTTTTATGTAATTTACCACCTTAAAAAACATGGTAACCACTTAACAGATTCCATCCAATAATCTGTTAGTGGGCCCTTTTCCTCCCATTTCTCCTTTCTTTTCCACGGTCCTCCATTACTCCCTCCATCACTTCTTTCAACCTTCCTCTCCACTTCCATCTTCATTATTTGACTCTGTTCTATTTGTTATTGATATTAAATTAAATTTTAACAGTCATATTGTTGGGCTTTTTCTCTCGCCGAGTCACCGACACTATTGTTGTTTCTGTTGGTCCCTTGGTTGGTTGTAGTGTAGTGGGATGGGGTATCAATCTTTTGACCACAATTTTTAATTGAGGGGTATTTTTCAATTCAATCCTTATTTACTTTTTACTTTCAATTCAATATTTAATCAGCAGTGAGTAATAAATTTATCTAGTGGTGTTTCTGCCATAATTTCAAGTGAATCACTTCAAAACCAGACCCCGAAAGAGGTAATGTAAGGAGAGTAATGGCATGGCCCATGGCTTACCCAGGCATAGGGGGTTTTTAAAAGGTGGTAAAGTCGAAAAAAATCCTCAAATCATAGTTAACATTCTACTTTTACCCCCTGGTCATCCTCCTTGAGACACACACTCACTACCCATTTTTTCTCTCTAATTTATCTCCATCAACCTCCTTAAACTTAATGAATTTTTTTTTTTTTTTTTTTTTTTTTTTTTTTTATGTACTACATTGAACACTCAAGAATGCAAAACTATTGATTTAGGCCCTGTTTGGTAATTAGCTGTTAGCTAATGATATAGCTGATTGTACAACTGATTTGACTAGTTGGCTGGTTGTGTAAGCATGTTTGGTAGCTGTCAATTTTAAGCTGTTTCAGTGTACGTGATAACCAAAAAGTTAAATGCTTAATAAACTAATTTCAAAAAGCTCCTATTATGAGCATTTTCAAAAAATGTTTTTTAAGGCCAAAAGGCTCATTCAATAAGCTGTTTATCAAACTCCCAATGTAGCTTTTGTCAGAAAGGTCAGACCTCTAATAGGCCTCAATAAGCTAAAAGCTCTCCAAAAAGCTTTTTCCCAAACAAGGCCCAATTCGGAATGCTTGGATCAATCCCCCATCTTTAATTAGTTCAATTCTGTAACTAATGTGATCTGGCTGGATTTTCAGATTGAACTGTTACCAACTCTTTAATTGGGTAGATCTCTATGTCCTGGTTCAGGACATTAAATGCACTTTCCTGGAATTGTTGATCCCTACCCCTTTGCCTCATGAATGAAGTTAATTACAAATTATGCATGTTGGACTGGTACTTTGAGAAGCCTAGGATCTCAGTTTTGATTGAATGAGCTCCAAGTGGAATTCTAACTTCTTCACTTGACCAACCTGACAACCTCTAAATGTTTGTCCATTTTAGATTTGATCTTGAAATAAATTGATGGTACATTTTATGATTTGATCTTATTGACTTTTAGATTTTGATTTTAGAAATCTGATTTTTGGAATCATTACCCCTACGACCTATGTTGACTATGTTAGTATATGTGATGTATCTTGTTTCGGCAGTATATTAATTTATACAACCTTACTTTCAGGTTATTCAGATGAACATTGAAGAGTCTGCTCGCAAGCAGACCGCACAAGAATTGAAAATCAATCAGTCACTTGAATGTCCCTATGTTGTTGCCTGCTACCAGTGTTTTTACCAGAATGAGGCTTTCTCAATAATTCTGGAGTACATGGATGGTGGATCCCTTGTAGATTTATTGAAAAAAGTTAAAACTATCCCAGAAGAGTATCTTGCAGCCATCTGTAAACAGGTTGATAGTATGCAATAATAAACTAAGCATATTTAGATGATGTCTTCAATTTCCTATTGTGTTCTCTTGTCCTATTTTTAACTTTTGATAACTTCTGATTGATTCTACATTTTAGGTGGTAAGAGGTATGTATTATCTTCACCATGAGAAGCACATCATTCATAGAGACTTAAAGCCATCAAATTTGTTGATAAATCATAGAGGAGAAGTCAAGATTACTGATTTTGGTGTTAGTGCAATTGTTGCAAGTACTTCCGCCCAGGCTAATACTAAAATCGGGACGTATCACTATATGGCTGTAAGTTTTACCTTAATATAATTTAATTGTCCATACGATTTTACGAGTCTGTTTTGAGGTTCTGACAGCTGTCTGGTGATCTCTCCAAATTGCCATGTGCATTGATGTTATGCAGCCTGAGAGATTCAGTGAAGAAAGCTATGGTGCCAAAAGTGACATCTGGAGCTTTGGTTTGGTTGTGCTAGAATGTGCAACAGGAAAATTTCCCTATCCACTACCAGATGAAGATGATGGTTGGATTAATTATTTTTCAATTATGCAGACCATTATTGAGCAGCCACCACCTTGTGCCCCCTCTGACCTGTTTTCTCCTGAGTTCTGTTCATTTGTATCCTCGTGGTATCTCTCTCTCTCTCTCTCTCTCTCTCTCTCTCTCGTCAAGTAATATATTGTTTTGGAGGCGTTACATTCCAAGAACAAATATAGATGGCAAATTATAAATTTGTGATGGATACTTTTTACTTTCCCGTCCACAAAATATTGTGAGCTTTCGTAAATATAATTTGACTTACAAACTTAGAAGTTAAATCCACCCTTTGTTTTGAAGAATTCCCGTCCACAAAATATTGTGAGCTAAAACTTTTTAATTTCCCGTCCCCAAAATATTGTGAGCTCAATTTACCCTTTGTTTTTTTCTTCAATATTTTGTGGTCAATACCATTTGTTTCTCTCTCTAGAAGTTAAATAGTCTAGTTGTTGTTTGAATTAACAACTAACTTCACTATGATCATTAACTTTAGAGTATCATATGTCCACTAAAGTATTGACCACATAGGGAAACTGTTTGTGCACAGCCTTGCACCTTCATTCTCCCTCAAACTGTAAAACATACAGCAGTAGTCAATGGCATGTTGCCTGCTTAGTGTTCATATTGTGGAGCATAGCCTTAGGAGCCCTTTGCTTACCAAGCCACCACAACATCCTTCTCCAAACCACCCATGCACCTACACAGTTGGGGGTAACTAAAGAATAGATCTTTGTGGTCATTGGACTCATTTTTTTCTTTGCAGAGGGGCAAGTGGTATGGAAGACCATTTTTGTATAGGCTGTCTTTTGTAGGGCAGTTTTAATATAAAGCTTCCTTCTAAACCTAGTAACTTTGACTAACATTATTTATGGACTCAAGTTTGCAATGGCAGTAGTAATAAATCCTGACTTCAGGCTTGCCGATTGGTTAAACCGTTAAATTAGTTTGTGTTTCCCATAGGAAAATTAAACCCAACAGGTATGGCTCTAGCAATCCATGGACAATCCCAATATAATATGTGTGCTTGTGCATCCTAGGAATTTGGAGACAACATTAAACTTTATATCAAAAAATTGGAGTGTATCCTGATGTAGCAAATTTCAAAGCTTTCCTTGCATTTCTTGCAATCTGCATTAGCTTTATAATTTTTCTATGCTGAAATTTTGTTCATTTACTCAGCTTACAGAAAGATCCAAAGGCTAGGCTCTCAGCTCAACAGCTAATGGTACGTGGCTCAATTTTTTGCTCTCCTCGTGCATATACTTCGTAATTAATTTGAGTCTGAAGCAATTTGTTCTGCGAACCTTACAAAGTTCTGGCTGGTTTCATGTGTTATTCAGGAACATCCTTTCCTCAGTATGTATGATGATTTGTATATTGATCTGGCATCATACTTCTCGAATGCTGGATCTCCACTCACAACCTTGTAGGATCCGTTCTGGTATGTCTTTGATTTGGACTATTAAAATGTTACTCGTTAAAATTTATTCAATGCAGTTGAGTCAAAGCCTCAAAGGTGACAAATTCCCTAGGAAGTCTGAAGTATGGCCTCAGTTAGAAGGAATAGCAAGCTGGTTATGAAAATCCTTAATGTTCTGTTTGGGTGTTGAGATTTCATTTGAAATCCTAAATTGGAATAAATCAAGTTTTTGGCAGATTAAACAATTTGGAATTGGATTTGATCCAAATCCAAGACGAACTAAAACATTGTTGAGAAAAAAAAAAAAAATCAAATTACTTACACTCGACATTTCAAATTCTTCATTTCTCGTCATTCTCACTCCTCTCTCCTTTGCCCCTTTCTATCTCTTCTCTCCTCCTTCAGTCCATCTCTCTCCTTTTTATGCCATCACCATTAAATCAATTAGAGCCGCCATTGCCGGCAATATTTCACCATTAAAAGATCTGAAAACTCCATCAATGGTGTATATGTTTGAACTCCTTTATCATTCTTCCCTCAACAATTCTCACTTTTCCACCAATAATTTTACATCCTTTTCACTCTCAAGCTTAGATTGATCTCTGCCTCCTTTGCTTCTCCTCAAACACTGGCAGCGGCAGCGGAGGGATTCATTGGCGATAGTGGCTAGAATTGGAACTCCGACAATGGTGTAGTTAAGGATATTTTTAAGTTAGACTTGAAATACTAAAAATGTATCATAATTTTGGAATTAAAATTATTAGTGTTTGCCTAACACTTAATTTGGAATTAAATTTGAGTTACCAAACACTATCTAATTGAATCTAGCAATCATGACAACATATGGTAGCTAAAAATGTATTTATTTCTTTGTGGTGCATAACTCCTTTTCTGGAAATTGGACTTCAATTATTAGGTACAAAACACGATGAGATTGAGGCAATGTTCTATCAGAGCAAAAGAAATTAGATGCGGAATTCTTGTCCCAAAAACCACACAATGCTTGGTGGATGTTGAAGGGTGCTAATGCCATGAGCCCTTGAGACTTTAGAGTTAGGAAGATGTATTTTTGTTCATGACAGAAAGCTTTTGATTGATGCAGTTGAAGCATTGAAATGATCAGCTGTCCAACTGCAGTATCTGTCAACTTTAGGTTTTTACTCTTGAAGGAATCAATGTTTTGTCAGTATTTCATGCACGTGTATTGCTAAGCTAAATTATGGGCATTACTCAATGCTTGAACTACACTATTTGATATTGCTAAGCTAAATTATGGGCATTACTCGATGCTTGAACTACACTATTTGATGTATTCTATTGGGCATTGGTTCCCCAGGTTAGCTTTGTGGTTGGTTTTCTGAATACTATCTCTTATGGAATTTTTTTTTCCATTGATCACCCTTTCTTTCTTTTTTTTTTTTTTCTTTTTTATAATTTTTTAATGAGTTTTAATAAGGAAATACTTTAGAGCCAATACAAGTTTATCTTCTTGATAAACTTTGTTAATATCACAAGACTATTTTTTTGTCATCTCTCATGTTAGAACAAGGTTATTTTTGCCATTATAATGAAAAAAAGCTTCAATCTGTTTCAATGGAGACTTCATGAATACAAAGCTCAGCACCACCATCAATGGTGAAATAAATAGAGGGATATCACGCAAGCAAACGATAAACACCTGCTACCCTTTATGGTTAACCATTCCCCTAATTTCATTTTTCTTTCTTAGGGTTTTTGTTGGTTTTGGTGGTGTTGGTTGTTCTCCATTGAAGCAGCTTGAAGAAGGAAACGAAGAAGATGATTAGATGATGGTGGGTGGGGATCAAATGAGAGATGTCAATTTTGCCACCGAGATAAATGGATTTGTTTATCACGGAGAGAAAACTGGGATCCCTCAATACTTTATGTTGTTTGTAATTCCTTATCAGTATCACACTGTCGCATATTCATATCACATCTACAGTTTTTGTATTCACTTTTAAACAGTTGGTTCAATTGAGAAGATTTTTTTTTTTTTTTTTTTGGCATGTGGGTTGGTTGGCAATTGGGGAAAATTCCATAAAGGGAAGGTTGTGACTCAATCACATCTATTAATAGAAAATGGGACAATTTTAGTGGTATAGAGGAGTTATTTGGGTCAGAATTTTTGTGAGTGGACGGTGGACTTATAGAGAAAATCCAAGTTTATCAGCGGGATTAACAAATTTTGTTAATCTTGGTGGCATATTGGTAAATAAAGATATATTGTTCCTTATTTTAAGAATGTAATCGATTAGCTGGACAACCACTTTTCATCAGCTTACATGAAAAGTTGAAAGTGATAGCTACGGCTTACTTGACGGTCGTTTGACGGCAAATTTTGGGGAAAAGTTTAGAGAGAGAAAAGATCCAAACTTTCAAGGTTTTACATATGCCCAATTCAATCAGGAACTTCTGTTTAAGCATTATTTCGTCCATTTGCATATGCCCAACCCAATCAAGAACTTTCCCACTTAGTAAATTATTTAGTAAATTCAATTCACCTATGGAGTTATGTTCATCTATTCGTATTTGTTTTTCAGAGATGGTGGTGGCAGCTTCAATTGAGGATTTTGACGGAGGACGAGGCCAACACTAACCTTAGGGGTTCACCATACCCTTAATTACACCCTTTTTAATAGGGTTTTTGTTTTATTTGGTGGCGATGCCGCCGGAGATGGTGCTGTTGGAGGAAGGGTGGAGATTGCGGAAGGAAGAAGAAGATGGAGAAAGAAGAAGAAATCAATTTCAATAGAGGAAGAAGAAGAATGAAGGAAGAGGCAGTTAACTTGCCATCAATTGGAGTTTGATCTAAAATATACATGTACCCCTAACTTTTATGTGAAATGACGAAAATACCCCCAGATAAATCACCTAAGTTTGTCAAGCAGATCAACTGGGTGCAGCTCTAGACTTATATACTATTTATTATCCGATGGCCTTGAAATTACTCTCCATAAAATATCCATAGCATTCTAGGTTGACAAAAATAGTTTGGTTTTAGTTCTTCAAAAAAAAAAAAAAAAAAAAAAAAAAAGTTTGGTTTGAGAAAATTGTCTCAAGTCATTTCACAAATAACTTGTATAGCCTCCTTTTTATATTGTTCTTAACTTTTTTTTATTTTGACAATTCACAAATTTCATTTTAACTATAAGGTATTGTTTGTAATTTATAAGTAAAAAAAAAAAAAAAATTAAGTCATGTTCCATTATAACTATGGAGTATTGTTTGTAATTTATACGTAAAGAAAAATAAAGTAATGTAGGATCTTATTAAATTCGTCTCAATAAGTATTTTTAAAATTATTGTACAAATAAACCATTTGTCTTGTTAAAATCATTATTGCTTATAAAAAATTACAGTTAGGATCACTTTTCATTTTTGTTAGAAATTGGATAGCATGATTTTAAGTGCGAGCTTGAATCAAGTGATTAAGATCAGGTAAATTTATTTATTTATTTATTTAGTGTTTAGAGAACCATTAGGGCAGGTGAGAATCGATCCCAAATCTCCTGGAACCGAATGGAAAGCTCTAACCATTTGAGCTATCCCTCACTCGCTCTAAGATCTGGTACACCGTATGGTAGAATTTGCGATGCCAAATTCCATACACAAAAAAACAACAGGCTTTGCTATTTCGTATCATTCTATTAAAAGATCAATGCTACAAAACTTTTACATCAGAACTCCAAGTGCATTCGTAAACGTGTTCAAGACGGATGCGCCCGGTTTTCAATTCTGTGAAACCAGGAAACATTTTTGCACATGGCAATCACATTCATGTTACCTTCACTTCATTGCTTTCTCAAGAATCAAAATATAAAATCATTCAATTAATGAAAACAAAAGGACACGAAATATTAGGAGTAGAAGATCTCCCAAACAATGGTTCCACAAGATATAACAGAGAATTGAACCTGAACACTGCACTAGAGAATTGAACCTGAACCCTGCATAGAATTCTTCATATGTAATTTGCATGGAAAGAAGTATTCTTAAGAGAAACTGTTCATAAAATTGTTCTTAGTTAGAACTTATACCAACAGATACAAGGATATTCTTGCTAGCTCTATCTGAAATATACTATACATGTTCTTGATCTCCAAATCAGCCCATTTTAAAAAGATGGGCTTACAAATATGTTACAATCCAAGATTATGTGATGCTTCTGAGAGCTGACAGATAATTCTACCTCATACAAACTACAGGTCAAAAGAAGCAAAAAAAAATTATAGAAAAATTAAAAATATAAAAAAGAAAAGAAAAAGAATTAACATTTTGCCAAAATAAGGTGAACCTTTTAAATGTTTCAAGTTTTAGTTTTGAACTTCCTATAAGGTTTCAAGTCAACCACAATGACAGTAATGTTGTCTTTGCTTCCTTTCTGGAGAGCAAGCTTGGAGAGGTAATCCGCCGCAGCTTGAGCAGCCAAATCAACGCCCTTGCCTCTATCCGAAATGATATTACTGCCATTCTTTTTATGCCAAAGCAGAATTCTTCTTCGTGCCGCATCGCAGGCCTCTTCATTGCTCAGGACATCCCATAAACCATCACTGGCAAGAATAAGGCAATCATCATCCTTTGCCCGCTGAACTATCGTCACTTCTGGGTCTGGTATAATCCATGGTTTCAAGTAACGATCACCTGAAAGAAAGTTGAGTAAAATAAGAATCTATATTTAGAATTTTGGTTGCAGGATATTCACACTAATGGATATACATAAAGTGAATAAGCCTCCATCATCAACTACTTTTACCCATCTATAAAGAAAGTGCCAAGAAAGTTCAATATCCATGAAGGCAATCATTTGATGCATGTATCTCCATAACATTTAATATGATGACCCATTAATGTACTTAATCACTAGCTTATATAATAGGAATAATCATGTGCTGTTTATTCAATTGATGAAGTACTTCTTTTGTGTATCAATCAGTATCAGCAATCTGAAAACTTGAAAAGGCAGCACCATACTTTGTTCAGTCGTCCTAATGCATTAAACGTTTAATGTATACTGATCTAGCTACATCACAAAATAATACTCATAAAACATATTGCTTGAAATATGTCACTTTGACTGCTCAGACTCTTCACTTTATTTCCACATCCATGTTGGATATTCAACATTCCGACATGAGTTTGGACACTTGATACTTCAATTTGGACCAAAATCATCCAATTTTTCAATTAAATAGCCACATCCGACACCTAGCTGTGTTGGACACTGCTACTGGTAGTCAAATCCAACACCCATAGAACTAGCCTCTTCATATCTCAAGCATTCATATTAAGCACAAGTAGATATTCAAATATGGATATTGAAGCTCCATTTTGAACTAAAATTAAAAAGGAAATTGTTCATAAGATGATCAAGTCTGACAACTAAATGCATAGACATGGGTAGCCAAGTCTCTAAAGTATTCACTGGCGATCAGATGTTCAGCATTGCAGAATATGCCTTTCACTCTATGGTACATATATGTCAACTCTAGGACTACATTTACAGTAAACAGCAGCAATCTGGGTAGACAAGAACCATTCTAAAAGTTTTAAAGCCAAATTCATGATCCATCCTACCCCAATGTTGAAAATGTCTGATCCTGGCAAATCTACTTTGAGTACTAATGAACTTTAGGCCTCCAATCAAAAACTCATGGGCAAGTTTGTCTTCAACTGTGGCTACTCTGCTTCTCTATAGATAATCCTAGAAGAATTTTGGGATACGACCAGTTCTTTAAATATTAGCACTTCTGTTATAGAGCTTCAACTGATTGACATTTTCAAGTAGTATCTTCTACCCATAAGAATTGCAAATAGCACTACAGTTTGTCCAACTCGCCCTATTTTGTAAGTTGTGAACAACATGCTTCCTGTTTGCCTATGACATAAAGCCAAAATTTGAAGATTTACAGTCTAAACCCCTAAGTTGCTTAAGGTACACAGGTCATCGACAAAGAAAATCAAGAGAACAGTTCAACCATCTACTCACTAAACACAAAACAGATGGACTGCAAAGTACTGAAGAATACTCTATCAAAGTCTAGAAAAATAGCCATAATTACATCACCCTGAAAGGTCAGTGCTCAATTGTCAATTCATATATTCCATCATTCATGTTTTGATAAGGCATCCCTGGAAAGTTTCGAGGACCCAAAAGTGCCAATCATTCCTTATAATACATATTCAGGTACAAATCATACTGAATATCAGATAATATCTTGTGGGAGTTCCATATAGGAAATGAAGACGAGGCAATATAACCAACCAGATGCCAATAGAACACGATCAATAACCGAATTCCTAAGCGTCTCAATTCCTCAAGCTGCATCTAATAAAAGCTGATACTGCTCAAATATCTGACAAACAGTCTTGTGGGCTAC